ATATATATGGGTGGTTGTCATGACTACTCTGAATAATATACCTTATGAAATTCCTTCATAATTATAAAGATGGTAATTAGCTAACAACTTCATTTTCAATTTTAGTGAAAATTGGGTTCCAGTCTCATCAGGTCCTCAATTACTTCTATTGTTCTTCACAGGATCACTCTCTGCTCTTCCTTCCTCCTTTTGATCCAAGACACCTCAAAGTATCTCATGCTGTGCATTGGCAACCTTGTCCAGTTTCTCTATTTTAGAACTGGTTACCAGTAACCCCAATCCCAGCCTTTTGAAATTTGTTTCCCTCTGACTTTCAATCACTGAAATGTCTTCATTTTAAGATCACAATTCTTTATATCAGAATAAGGTGAGAAATTTAAATACAATCAGAAGATGACATCTGAAGGACCAAACACCATCATTTTCTTCTTTGTGAATTTGGAATTATGATATGATTTTTAAACCAGATTTACAGAATCACTTTGCTGATCATTTCTCTCATCCAAATATTTGGGGGATGCTTCAGTGGCAAATACACCTAGTATTGTGTTGTCTTTATTCTTGTTCTGACAGTATCAGGATACTCAGTTAAGAAGAGAGTTTAACCAATCAAAAATAATTCCTTTGGTACAATTGACTTTTTTTAATCCTTGAAGTCTTTGTTAATACTGTTTGCTTTTTTCACTTTCCATTTTTTGCATCACAAAGTCCTATTTATTTATATTTTTTCTTTTTTTTTCTGTACTGTGAATTGAATCCAGGATACTCATCCTCTAATCTATACTTCTGATCCATTTTAAAATTTTTATTTTGAGACAGGGTTTCACTAAGTCACTGAGGGAAGGCACTGAGGCTAGCCTCAAACTTGGAATCCTCATACCTTAGCCTCAGGAGTTGCTGGGATTATAGGCATGTGCCACCACATCTGGCTAAATTTGCCATTTTATAAGAGGATCAATGTCACGACCCTAACTGCATCTCTCATCATCTCACAGTTGAAAAAGTGACAATAGCCTCCTAGCTAACCTCCCTGCCTCCATTCTGTCCCTTTACTTAAATTCTTCCTGCATCTGCTCTCAGATGAATGCTCCAAAAATTTTCTCAGCCTTTTAAAATATATACTCATATAGATTTCTGTTTTTACCAACTAAATGTGCTTTCTATCAGCTAAATAGAATTTGCTTATTCTTCCCAGAATCTTCACATGTGCTATTTTCTGCACTTTGGAAATTCCTGTTCTTCACCACTGTCTCCTCTATTCCAAACTCATCTCTTGCCCAAGTCAACAGTGAATTTCCTCACTTCACTTGTCTTCTCTGGAGTTCAATATTAACTTTCCTACACTGGAATGTGTTTTATGATGAATATGATGTATAAATTATTTGAAAACAATGATTGCAATTAAAAAATTCTACTATACTTTAGATACTGGCCAGTACACAATAGGCACTAACTAATAATTATAAATGTGGTTGAGAAAATAGCAGTAAGCCTTTGGGGGAAAATACAGATAGGTGTAAGTGATTCCACAGTAAGTAAATGGAGCACTGAAAAACATGTTTAAATTGCTTGTGGCCAAATTCAGTTCTAAAAAAAGGCAACTTTGATATGAAAAGTTTGAACTGAATGATTTTTGTCTATCAAACTGTTCCATACATTTTTCAGAGAGCCTTAATGCTTAAAACTGTGACCTCCTATCAGACATCTTAAAACAAAAATGCATGAGTAATGGAGAAATTGGAGCCAGACAATTTTCAACATTAAATTCTCTCCCACAAAAGAGCATGACAATTGCAAGTGTTCAAACTTAACTGATCACGGTGGAACTATTTTCTTTCTTCACTTTAAGTCTGGTTTTATCAGTTCACTATCTCACCATGAAATATGAATATAAGGAGTAGAAAGATATATATGTGGAATAATTAGGGCATATCCTCTGGTCATCAATTTTCTGATTAGTTGTTTAAACAACTAATTTTTTAAAAATAAAATGCCCAAGGCAGTAAACATTTTAAACCAGTGATTCTATAGTCTTATATGCCTTTCAAATACCATGTGAGTGGAGAAGTCTCTTTCCCTTTCTTGCCAAAATATTCTTTCTCACACTTGCCATTTTCCCACCTGTTGCAAAAGTAATCCTTAGGATACAAATCATTTCCCTCTCCTTTTGAACTCTTTTATAAATTTCTCTTTCATAACTGAACTCTTGTTTTTACCTTGAATTGCCCCCTTTAAGCCCCACAATATTAACCATCCACCCTCAACCAAAATATCTACCTTTCACACCATGCGACCAGGTTGAAGCCTTACCAGAAGCCTGAAAGTTTCTCTGTGTTCATATTTTTGAATGAGTGTTTGAAAACAGAACAGATTTGGATCTAATTCAATTAAGGCTTAGAGGCAGTGAAGAAAGACATCTTTTCAGGGAACATCCAGATACATTTCAGAGTCTCCATAGTTAGATTGGAGCCCATACATTATCAAAACTGCCAGATTTCATATTTTGCAAAATTAAACCCATGTTTACATTGTCCATCTCCTTGAGCATTGTTTATTCTCAGTGCAGTTTTCTTTTGCTATGTATTCATTGAGTTTATGCATTTCTCATTTGTGCCATCGTTTATGATGTTTTCAGGGTTTTTCACCTTAAAAAGTCAGTTTTAAAATGTATGTTTACACAATCACATAACAATAAATTCGTTATAATTGTCTTAGAACTAGTTGTACAAAGGATCTTCATAGATTTCCAAAATCCATTTCAGTGAAATGCTGAAAAGAAAAATAAATTTCTTGGGCTGGGGATGTGGCTCAAGCGGTAGCGCGCTCGCCTGGACCCGGGTTCGATCCTCAGCACCACATACAAACAAAGATGTTGTGTCCACCGAAAACTAAAAGATAAATAAATATTAAAAATTCTCTCTCTCTCCCTCTCTCTCTCTTTAAAAAAATAAATAAATTTCCTCACTGTGAAAGCAACTGGAAGAATACATTATGTTCTAGACTAAATACTTATTATACCCTTATAGGTTTTATCTTTCAAAAATCTCATATGAAAATTAAATTTTGAATTGCCATCTAGAAATAAATTTTTATAGATAGAGTACACATTAGTTCCTGAAAATGGTAGAAAAGGTTTCTTGTCAAGTTCCCCAGCACAAGTGTGAATGCTCTGTTTTTGAGTACCTACTAGTAGTGAAAGGATACATTGTGGCCAGCCAACTCAAATTGCTACCCACGTTTAATCATTGTAAATAAAGGAAGCAGAGAGACCCATGTTATATTTTCAGAACTGGCATGCTCAATACAGAACTATTAGTTTAAAAATACTACTGAACATTCTATTTGAATTAATCTAGATTTCTGTGAAAAATAAAATAGTAAAAAGTACAATTGGCCACTTAAACATATACCACTCATTTCATGCAGATTATTAATTTGGTAATTACACATTGCATTAAAGAACAAATAGAGTAAATACAACTTTGTAACATTTGGAAAACAGTTCAGAATTGATAAATTTTCATTTTGAAATACCTATAGTTTTTACAGAAGCAAAATCTCCTTTCTCCGTGGAGAAAAATACATCTATGAAACACCTACATGTGTTGAACTGGACTTTTCAAAGGAACAACTAAATATCCCACTGTGAAGTGAACATGTATAACTGCTAAGCTTTCACATACTGTTGGTGCATAATACATTTTCTGAACAGCTGGATATAGAAAAGCAAGAAAGAAACAAGTAGGTTGAACGAAACTCGTGTATCACAGGGAATCAGTAATGGAAAGAGGTTGAGAGAAATCATCAAAGCATATTATCTAATGTTTTCTTATACATTGATGTTCACAATTACAAGGCCTAGGCAAATTCTTGATTTTTACATATTGTATACATTTGCCCTTTTTTATGTTTATCCAAGAACTTGATTTATGAACCGTTTGCAAAATGCCCCAATCCAACTTGATAAAGAATTAACCACCACAGGCATCTAGGTGGAGAGTACACCAAATTTGACTAATTGGAAAGCATACAAAGTAGTAATCCACAATAGATACTAAAATAGGGGCACATTACTTACAGCAAATATGGAATAGATTATTCACAGATATTTTGGGGTATGGTGCAGTCACAGTCACTGTATGAGGATGGACAAGTTTAGTCTATCAAATATACTCTTAGAAGCACCGGAAATAGAGATACTTCTGCAGGAACCTTGCACACATGGCCAAGCAGATACAGTGTACATATAGAACAGTCTATTTCACAACCACTTGGCAGATGAGAATCTCTGCAATTGCTGCTCTACCATTAGTAAGCTCAAATCATTTAGCACTTCATCTGTGAATATTATTTCTTTTCAATTGCTGACACTTGCAGTCAATACATATTTAAATTCAAACTCCAATGATGTTGAAAATCAAGTAAGAAAATACCAATATCTTCATAAAGCTTATAGCAGGTCAAGAGAGCATTTGGAAAAAAAGTCTAAATGTAAATTTGTTAGAAAACAGTAAAAGGTGTACTTCAAGATGGGTTTTCAAAGTTGTGAAACTTTTGAAATAAGCCAGAAAGCCATAAGTGTTGTTCAAAATCATCCTAAAAACTCACACCCTGTCTATTCATTTGCTTAAGAAATGCACATTGTTTACCTACCTACAAGTTTGCCTACAGAAGATATGGCCTAACAAAACTAAAAGCTGTTATTATGAGTTGTTGATTTAGTCTATAGAAGTTGTCCATGATGTTGGAGAGATTTTACATGTTTCAATCATGTTTTTTTTTTTTCCTCAACTGATCTTCCTTTACAAACAGTCTTCCAATTGGAGTTATTCAACAAAATTTTCTTTATAATTTCTGATTTTTCAGTTACTCTATAAAAAGTTATCTTTTCCCCTTAAAGTTAGTTCATAGTTTTCAAATTCACTTAGTCTTTAAGTTTTCCTTATTTCAAATACCATGTAAATGCTGAAATATTCATAAATATGGGGGAGATAGCTCACCTAATAAGGTTGCAGTCCATGTGGAATAATAAAACCTACGTGAAAACAACAAAGTTTTTAAATTTTTTTAGGAAGAAATTAAAACTATACATTGGAACAAGGTGCCATACTACAAAAGCAAGTCTTTCCTTCCCCCCATTAGTCAGGAAATATAAACAAAAATATTTGAGTATAAAAGTGATTTCTGTGCCTTTTTATTCACTTTTTCAGCACCTCAATGTTCTTAGGTGTACTTTATGCTTGGTACAGCAGAAATTCTGTATGCTCAGATAGCTGTTTGGAGGATTTCATATTTTTCACTACCAAATATCGCTGGTGAAGCTAAGTTCTTTGGATGATAAAGGTAGCAGGGTATTGTTTCTAGGAAATTCCTGGGTGTCTTTCAGAGTGTTATTAAGGGGTAACTGTCCATTGAGTAGTGTTAGCGGCAAGTTACAGTAAGTATGGTGGTTGTCTAAGGAAGATACTGGCAAGGTGGTGGTTGGCATCTCATGTTTATAGCCTCTGCAACAGTGCCTCATTTGCATTGAATCTGAATGGTGGAAATCAGGGAGATCAGCTTGAGATGATGCCAGAGTGGCAGACGTACTGGTCATGGCAATTGAGGGTATAGGCTGGAGTTCTCTGAAAAGTCCTTGTTCTGCAGAGTCCAGAACATGGCATCGAGAAAGCATTTCTTTTTTCTTGATAGGCATTTCATATATTAAATGCTTCCAAAACTTAGAATTTAATTTGCTGCTTTTGGGTCCCTTCCACTTGATCAGGGACAGAAGTTTGATGCTTCGCTTTAGGGATTCCACTTCCTGGCAATTCACCTTCCCTTTCAACTCTGTACACTCAATCACAATCACTTTGATTTCTCCACTGACTAGCATGTTATGGAGTCTGCTTTCCAATTCGAAAATACTCCATCCCCGTCTGAGAATATAGTCTGGAGTTAGCACGATAATAAGTCTTCTGCTTTGCTCAACACATCTTGTGAGATCTTCAATGTATGCTACAAATCACAGAAAGAGAGAAAGAGTAAAACAAAGACATTGCCAGTCTTTAAAGCACCAGGCTTTCACTCTAGTATAGCACAGATCCAGTCTGTCACTAAAGTCCATTACATTTTCTTTTCTTGTATTGCACATTCCAAAACCCCTTTCCTTAAAAAATTAAGAAAATTAAAAAAAAATACTGCATAAATTCTTATTTTCTTTTGCCTTATTGTTACTTACAGTGTTTTGATAGCCAATACAAGCTCTGGCTTCTTCAGAGCTTAGGTATATTTCAGTGATTTTTATTTATTTAATCACTTAATTCAAAGCAGGCTTCCAGGCTAGTACTCTAAGTGAACAAGCAATGAACAGGTCAATAAAAATAGATTTGGAACCTTCTAATAAACACAGGGTTACTGTATGTTTGTAGCTGTTTTTCTTCCTGTTTTCCCCTTGTAAATTAATACTATTTTTAATTGACAAATAATAATGGTATACATGACGCCTAGTTTTCATCTTCCTAACAAGTACTGGCACTATGTTTATCAAGTATTTGAGAGATAATTCTGATATAGAGATGATGAAAAAATCCTTTCTAGAATCAGCTTGTTTCTCAGAATACCTTCTGCCATTTGCAAACTTAGGTTTCCCTATTTTGTCCTTCATACCCAGATACAGGGAAGTGGTGTGTGCTTAATTTGAACCAGCTGTTTTTTGTTCCAAAGAGGAGTGAAAGGTAAACTTGGAGATGGGAGATGGAGTGGAATGAATGGTGAAAGAGGAGAAACAATCAACTGAGAAGTAAGTTTTGCGCTGTTTTGTGGAGCAATTCTGAAAGTGAGGTGAATGTGTTATGGCTTTTTTCATGGTAAAAAACACAATAACTCTAGATTTGTTTATCCCAAGGAATAATCCTTTTGTAATCATGCTTCCCAAAGTATTATCTGCCAAAAAGGGAAACGCACACATGTGTTAACAAATGGAGACTTGGACACAGGTGCTGCACCAGAACACTGTCTTTACTAAGCAGAGCACAAGGCCTTGTCTAATGTACAGTGCCCTCTAGCAGAAGCAGTGCTTACAGAAGCATAGCAACATTTGTCGCTGCAAATTTGTCCAAGGTTACAGACTACTTTCACATTCAGCACATAGTGTGGGGACACCAAACAGCCCAGTACAAGCCATTTGAAAGAGACACTTATTTTATAGATGCATGTTTTACAGATTATCTTTCTTTTCCAGGGTTTTATTTTCACCACTTGGCAGCAAGAAAACTTTCACAAGTGAAAATGAGCAAATTTTCTACACACCCTACAGATAAACAAAAAAAAAAAAAAGTTTTTTAAAGAGATACACATAAAATTGCCTATTTAACAATTTGTTGTTAGGGCTGTTTAGGTTTTGACTTAATACATTTCAGGACTTTCTCATGCAGTAGATACAATGACTGTATCTGAGGGGATAAGGCAGTTGTTAGGTTGGGATGGAACCTCTTAAATATTATAAGTGTTTTATTTTAGGGATCATGTATTTTGGGGAAAATCAGCAGTGGAATCTGTAAAAACAAAACAACACAAAATAAAAATAACCACACAAGTAGCAATGGGGAAGTTTATCACTGAGTAATTATCACTTAGAGAACTGGTGAAACAGAATGGAAGGAAAGGTAGAGAGATTCAATAGAGTGGAAAAATATTATCCCACTGTATCAACAGCTCTGACTCTTCATTTTCTTCCTTTCTTTCTGCTCCCAAAAAGAAAGAAGTTATGTGGGAAGCTTCATCATTAGAAGTTGGATCTGTAAGATATAGTAAAATAAACTATCATGCATCTTTCCCATTTTTCTTTTCACCTTTCCTCCAAAACAAAACAAAACAAATTCCAAAACCAGAATCATGGTATCAGTGCAGTAGTCCAAGAGACTACAGTTTTCCCAGGTGAATTATGACTTAATTGTTAATTTTATAGAAATATTCTTTACAAAATAATTTCCCAATTGGTAACTTTGACTAGTACTCTTTCTCATTACTTTTAGCATGTAATTTAAATTAAAATATTGTTCGGTACAAACCTTGTCAGGAGTCACATCAAATACACCTCTAGGAACAACATTATTTCTGTGTTCAAATATAATATAAATGTACTTTTTGACTATATGTTTAAAAACAAAAGCTAGCTGTGTACATGTCTCCATTAAAAAAAAAATTACAACCCAGGTATCTGCAGTCATAAGGGAAATTATACCTATATGTACTAATGAATTTGACTGTGATATTATGGGCTTTGGTTTTGCTAGATTCTTTTTTTGGGGCATGGGGAAGGGAAAAGTGTAATATATATTTTACCATGTGTACAGTTCTCCTGCTTCAGATTTTTTTTTTTTTGAACCAGAGATTGAGCTCAGGGTTTCTTAACCACTGAGCCACATTCCCAGTCCTTTTTAATATTTTATTTAAAGACAGGGTTTGCTGAGTTTCCTAGGGCCTCACTAAGTTGCTGAGGCTGGCTTTGAACTTGTGATCCTCCTGCCTCAGCCTCCCAAACCTCTGGGAATTCAGGCGTGCACCACCACGCCTGGCTCAGAATCTATTCTGACATTTGACAGGTAAAAATGCAACATTTAGGTTTCTTGGGGCTTCTTACAGACTCATTAGACATAATCTGCATTTGCCCCCAGAAAGAATGCCTGTCAGGACAGATCCCACTAAGCTCAGCTGTACAGGGTGTGGTGTTGAAGGGAACCTTGGAGAGAGGGAGTGGTCCTGTCTCCTGCATACTACACTGGCTGTGCTTATCCTGGCAAAGCCTAGAGGAGAGTTGAGGCAACCATCCAGATAACTTCTGCTGAAAACCTGCTGTGGAAGAAAAAAGTTCTGAATTATCCTGGTTTGCCCTATATATACATTAATCATATGCACTGGAGTCAGTCAGTCAGTCAGTACATCAAAATTTTCCCTGGGTAGACACAGCACAAGAGTCCCAAAGAAAACACAAGCCATTTGCTTGGGCCCTGAATCTCGTGTTCCATTTCACTTGGTGAAAAACCAAGTGGAAGTTTTCAGATGTGGAGCCCACATTTCACTTCTTGGGATGGTGATCAGTGGCTGGGCAGCAACCTCAGTGTTTGAAAGCAGCTGGGGAGGTGCCTCAAAGAGCTGCCTGGCTCTAAGGAAAAGAAGGAGAGACTGTGCCTTTACTTCCATAATCTGGCTCACTCTCTGTTTTTCTCTTTTTCTTCCCCTTTTCCTCTCCCTACCTCTTTCTTTCTGCCTTTCCTTTTTCTCTCATCCTTTCCTGTCTTTTACTTTTATCTCCCTCTTTGCTTTCTTTTTGCCTCTCTCTTCTATACTCCTCTCCCTCCTTCCTCCTCGTTTCTTATGGCTTTCTTCATCTATCTTTTAATTTTGGCAAAAACAAGATCACAGCTATCATGAAAATATATATAAATGACAGTAAGATGAAACAGCATAGTTCACCTTTTTCACTTGCTTATCTTTAGCCTTGGAGTTGTTCCTGGTGTGTATAATTAAATGCCCAAGATAATCCCCAACCCCTTAGGGCTACATGTTTGCATTTAATGACTGTGACTTGGAGCTTGATCCATTAAGGACTGTGTCCTATTTTCATATGACACATGAACTATGAACAATATTTTACATATTTAACAAGTGTTCAAAAAGATGATGATGATGATGATGATGATGAATAAGAATATCATGCAATTGAGACCATATGTGACCCACAAACCCTTAAATATTTATTATCTAGACCTTTACAGAGAAGGTTTGTCACCCCTGACTTAGAGACCAAGCAGAGTGGTTAGGTTTGGAAAAGTTCCAAACAAACAAAGCAGAAACAGGTATCAAGTTAAGACATTGCTGGTCCATAGGGTAGTCTCAGACAGGCTGTGGGTTTTTCCCTGGTAGGGCTGTGGTTTTGTGGGAGACATTTTAGAAACCTTCAGAAAATGTTCAAAAAGCTTGTTACCACAAAGAGATAATAAAGAAACGTTCTTTTGAAAAAAAAATCCCTAAATCCACAGCACATATGAAAATCTTGCCCTGACTTGTTCAGGCAAATTTAGCTACTGAATGGCAAGGATCCCTTTAAAAGACTCCTTTTTCCACATAGAAATGTAAACTATCCCTTAAATAAAAGGTCACCAAGTCATTTCTTTGCAAATTTTGGTTTGAAATAACTTTTGATGACAGAATAGACCAAAGAAGTCTGTGTCTGATAGTCTTTGGTTTCTCTAGACAAGTCTGTGAAACCACTGAAGATTTTCAGACATGACAATTTAATTAGATAAATAAAATATCCCCTTTAATATAGTGTTGTTGGGGTGATTAATTTGGTATAAATTAAATCTTCACATTGTAAGTACAAATACAAAGAAACTTTTACTTCTGTCTGTGCTGAAATTGACAGAGTTGGGAAAATATTCTTGAAGAAAATACATTTTCAAGAGGCCATATTAGGGATGTGGACTTATTAGGGAAATGAAGAGAAATCATGCCAGTAGCAACAGTACTGATGGGAAATAAGGAAACTGGCTACCTAAAGCCTTATTAAAATCAAAGCAAATTTGATTTTAAAATCTCTTTCAGGAGCAGTTGTATATTCGTGAATTTCTATGGAGTCTAGCTGCTGCCTATTGACCACATGATCTCTCAATAAATTACTTTCTTATAAATTATTTGTGGGTTAACACTTCCACTTATATCAGGGCTATGTATTATCAAGAGTGTATAGCATACTTTATATAAATAAATTAAAGATGAATATTTAGTTTCTAGACAAAGGCATAATATATTACTTTAATAGATTCAAATATAGTAGTTTGATATACTTAAACTCGTAGATATGTACTGAAGCTGTTATGTAAAAAATACACATCACTGCTACAAGACAGAATTCATCAAGGCAGATGAAACTACTAATTTGGGGGAAACATTAGCTAATTGATAGCTATCAATAATGATGATTATAAAACCTACAGGGTGATATATTGATTTAA